GTCACTGGATCATTCATTCAACGAACATACTCGAGCAAGCCAAGAACTAGGACTCATCCTTGGCACCTCCCTGACCTTCGCTGTCCACATTAAAATACATCTCCATTTCCTGTCGAGTCTCTTTCCTAAATATCCTTCCAATCTATCATTCCTCTCCGTTCCCACCACCATCTCTCCCGTGGCTCCTACAGTAGCCTTCTAGATGGCTTTCCTGTACTCACTCTGGGCCTGCTGCACTCCATTCCCCACGCAGCAGTCAGTCATCATTTCAGGACGCAAGTCTGATGTGCCGCCCCCTGCTTTAAATCCCTCCACTGTTAGAATAAAATCTAGGCCTGAGAGCTGAGCTGAGTCTTGAAGAAATGAGTTCCACAAGCAGAGATGAGGGGAAGGGCATGTGCAAAGGGATGGCGGTGTGAAAAGTCATGACACGGTCAGGTTTCCCTGTCAGGGGACCAGCACCCTGTACAAACACCCAGAGCACTGCCTCTTCTATTGTTATTGGGATCTCAAAACAACTCCGTGAGATAAATACAGCAACCAGCTTTCCCACTATTTTATAAGCAAGGAAACTAGTTTATGGGAAGCAACAAGTGCAGTGGTTGAGAGCACAGATATGGCAGTCGGACCCTTTGGGTTGTGAACCTAGCTCTGCATCTAGTCAGCTGTGTAAAACACTTAACTTCTCTGATCCTGCACTTCCTTGCCTATTAGGTAGGAATCGTTAGTTAATCCCTACCTCTTATGAGATAACTCACATAAAATGCTTAGTACAGGACTTGGACACTTTGAAGATGCTCAATAAACATTAGCTGTGTTGATTGTAATGGGTTCTGAGAAAGGGAGTAAACTGCTTTCTTCCATGAATTTCTGAAATTATAGGAAGTACTCTCTAATAGTTAATACTTCTACAGAAAATATGTACCTGTCACTTTTATAAGTACTTTGCATATATTAATTCTTTTTTTAATCCTCTTAATAGCCCTGTGAGGTAAAGTACTATTATTTCTACTTTACAAATACAGAAACTATGATGCAGAGAGGTGAAGGGACTTGTCCAAGGCCATACAGTGAGTAAGTGATGAAACTGGAATTTGAACGCAGGTAGGCTGCTTCCAGAGACTGTGCTTGTAATCATTACTCCCAGCCTGTTCCTCTTTTATCTTGTTTCAGTTTCTATCTTACAACTAATGTTTTGTCAGTTTGATTCCTATTCCTTACTAATGAATGGAGTAGATATTTGGTCTCATTTCCTAGCACAGAGGAATGAGGCCATGCCAGAAGTACAGTGGATGAGAGCTCAGATCCCAAAGTCACCTCCCTCCTTTTCAGGCTTATCTCTGGGAACAGGACTCCATGGATTATCTTGAGTTGTCTCCAAGATAGTGACAGATCAGGAACCTCTGTCCCTTCACTTTGCGAGATATTTGCCAGATGAAAAGGTAGAGAGAGGAAAAGAATTCAAGCTAGAAATAATTCTGGGGGCTATGCTGAAAGGGTGTCAGCCAAGAGAAAGATCCAGGCAGCAGACCCAGGAGTGGATGGCAAAAGGAATTGAAAGGAGCAATGAAAAAAATAGATGGCTTAGACTTCTGGCTTCCATCTAAGATGCAAAAAGCTAAGGAGGGTATCATTACCACACTAATAACTTTTTAAAATTTTTAGGTAATCTATAGAATTATAACTTCTGTCGAACCCATCAGAGAGCTGAGGTTGCACAGCAGTAAATGAACCCGAATTCCAAACAAGTTTCCAAGAAGAAATGGGATGCAGGCACTGGCACACTTGTGAAGCAGGAGGAAGATGGGGTATCCATGCAAGCAGGTAAGAAGAGTTCAACTATAGTTTTTAATTAAATTGCTAAAGGCCCAGTGTGAGAGTATAGAATCCGTGGGGGTCACAGACACTAAAAGTAATCATAGAAACAATAAAACCCAACCCTCGTTCAACTCCTGACAAAATCGACTCAGTCCTCCACACGAATGGCCTAAGAAGAGATATAACAATTTCCAAACATAAATAATATTGTCCTCAGTCTCTACTGTTCTACACATTATGTCCAGAAATCAATCAAAAGTTACCAAAAAAAAGTTACAAAAAGCAACTTTACAAAAGCAAAAAGTCCTATTGTCAAGAGACAAAGTAATCAACAGAACCAGACTCAAAACGCAGATAACTCTCTAGAGTTATCTGATATAGAATTTAAAACAACTAGAACAATATGTGAAAGGCTCTATTGGAAAATAGGGACAATATGCATAACCAGAAGGAGCATTTTAGCAGAGATGGAGACTATAAAAAAGAGGCATATGGAAAATGCCAGAAAATTTTAAAAACATGTAACAGAAATGAAGAATGCCTTTGGCAGGCTCATCAGTAAACTCAACACAGCTGAGGAAAGAATCAGTGAACTTGAAGATAGGTCAACAGACACTACCCAAACTGAAACAGAAAGAGAAAAAAAGTGAAACAAAACAAAACAAAACCAAACCGAGAACAGAACATCCAAGAGCTAACATATGTGTAATCTGAATGTCAGGAGGAGAAGAGATATAGATAGAAACGCACTTGTGTGTGCACACACACATGCACAAATATGATCTATCATATTCAAACTGTTGAAAACCACAGATAAAGAGAAAATCATGAAGGCATCTAGAAGAAAAAGACAAACTACCTACAGAAAAACGAAGATAAGAATTACAGCAGATTTCTCATCAGAGAAGTTATGTGACCAAAAGACAACAGAATGATATTTTTAAAATGCTGTAAGTGGGGCCGGCTGAGTGGCTCAGTTGGTTAAGAGCTCACTCAAGAGTGTGAGCTCTGAGCAACAGCGGTTCGATGCCCGGCCTGAGCTGAGTTGCCGCTGTGCTGCCAACAGGTAGCAGGATGGCTCAGCTAAAAAAAAAAAAGAAGAATAGAAATTAAAATCCTAGTATATGAAAATTATAGTAATGAGAGGTGTCAAGCTTAACAAGGTATTAAATGTAACACTACAGTAATTAACACAATTAGGAATTGGAAAATGAATAAAAAGATCAATGAAGTAGATTAAGAGTTTCAGGAATAGAGTAAATATATGGTAAAGAAAAGATCTCTAGTCTGAAGTACAGATAGATTTTCAAATCACCAAGAAAAATGTACATAATTCAAAAGATAGTGTTGAACAAGTGGTTAGACACTTAGAACAAACTAATATATTCGTTATACCAGAAAAAATTCTAGATGGAAAAATAATTAAATGTAAAGGAAGCCATTCATAAAACAAAAGAACTTAGTAAAAATTTAAATACCTTGAAGAGAGGATTGTTTATCTAAATCCAAATCCTACAGACTAAAGGGTTGATGAATTCTACAAAACATAAGAATCAAAATGTGTACACAGAAAACAAGTGTAAGCAAAGGAAAAGAAAATGGTGGTAAGTTGTAAAAAAAAGATCTTTTACATGTGTAATAATGAAAGTTCAGTTCTCATAATATATAATGAGCTCTTGCCAATCTGTAGGAAAAAACTGACAACCCAAAAGATAAACAGGCAAAGGGTATAAATAAATCTTTCGCTTAAAAGGACATAAAATGGTTAATAGGCAGAAGAAAAGATGCTCAACCTTAGTCAGAATTAGGTATATAAATAACAGCAACAAATACAAGCAAAAATATTTCACAGATCAGATTATCATTTGATAACAAAAACATTAGATAATACCCATTGTGGGGGAGGAAGTAGGAAAGTAGGAAATCACCTCCTTAACTGAAAATGGGAGTGAAAGTTGGTACAATGTTTTGGGAAGGCTATTTGACAATAGCTAACAAAAATTTAAGTATACATACATTTTGATGCAACAATTTATATTCTCAGAATTTAGTCCCAGATACATTGGTAAAAATATATGCACAAAGATATTCATTGCATTATTGTAATAGTGAAAAAATGGCAATAGCTCAAATGTCTGTCAGAGCAGAATTTGTTAAATAAATTAGGGTACATTTGTATAGTAGAATAAAAAAATAAGACAAATCTCTATATACTGATATGGAAAGCAGTAAAAGTTACAGTAAGTTTACAAGATGTAGAGCATCTACAAGATGTAGAACAGTGTGTACACACTTTTGTATAAAAATATATTTTGNCTAAAAAAAAAAAAAAAATGCTGAAAGTGAAAACTGTCAATCCAGAATTCTATACCTAGCAAAAAATATCTTTCAAACATGAAGCAATACACATGCTTTTTTCAGATGAACAAAAACAGAAAATTCATTACCAGCAGATCAGCACTATAAGAAATGGTAAGATGGGTACAAGACTAATGGG